GAGGTTGACTTATACATGAATATATATGCAAATGTGAGTATATCAATAGGTACCACTCAGGCGAGAAGCTAATTGCGTTTGATGCAGTCATGCAGGCTACATGACCTTAAAGGTGTCTATGGACAACGCCGGCTCTTCGGCTTAGAAATGGAGATGAGCACCAACCCCCAGAATCGGACATGACTGAACTTAATGTCAGGGGAAAACCTTTACCTTTACTTTATATGCTAAACAATATTCAGCAACACTTTGAGGTGGAGAGACACGTCCCAGCTTGAATATTATTTTTCTAAATGCATTCAGGAATCCAGGCATTGTAATATAAGAAGCTCTATCTTGTCAATGTCTTTATGCTTCCATCTATGTGTCCTCCTTTCTCTCACTTGTGTATAACACCAGCAGTTTGGTCAAGAGGAGACTCCAGTAGCACAGTGGGTTAAACCCTTGTACTGGCAGGACTGCTGACTGACAAGGAAGTTCTTCCTCATGTTCAGATGGAATCTCCTCTCTTGTAGTTTGAAGCCATTGTTCCGCGTCCTAGTCTCCAAGGAAACAGAAAACAAGCTTGCTCCCTCCTCCTCCCTGTGGCTTCCTCTCACATATTTATACATGGCTATCATATCTCCTCTCAGCCTTCTCTTCTTCAGGCTAAACATGCCCAGCTCCTTAAGCCACTCCTCATAGGGCTTGTTCTCCAGACCCTTGGCTGCAAATATGGATGCAAACCATATTTTCGTTTTTGCAGACCACCGGTTGTCCACAGATCACAGATTGGGAACCACTGGTGTATAGGAAACATAAGTCAATTTTGTGTTGTGACTTAATTCTTATTACCAGGATATTTTATTATACAGTTGTCCCTCTACATCTGCATTTTTTACTTTTGAGGATTGGATTAGCTTTACATATATGTTAAAAATAGTCTTGCTAGGAATCTCTTGGTCCTCAAGTCTGTGAGAGGGAGGAAGAAAAAGAGAAGGAGAAGAGAGACCCATTCTAATATAAGAATAGTTGAGAACAGTTTTGGTTGGTTTTGTCCTATTCCGTTTCTTCTTGGAGAGGTTATTTTTATGTATTTTTCATGGAGTGGCACCCAAATGCGTCCTTGTTTCTTTTCGCTCACTCCTTTTCAAATAAAACAGAGGTTGTAACATTATTCCAAAAGATAATGTGCTGGTGTATCATCCACTTTTTTGCAACATTATTTATAAAAGCTGACTTGTTAGTGTTTCACTTTTTTGATAGCATTATATGTAAAAGATTATTTGATAGTGTTTTGCTCACTTTGTAAAAAAATACACTGGAACTTGTAACTGTATCTTTAAAAGGCTGTTTGTTAGTGTTTCACTCTTTCTGAAATGCATCAGAGCTTGTAACATCATTGGTAAAAGGCAATTTGTTACTGTTAGAAGCAGGGTTACTTTGCAAGTAATGTGTAATTTTGTGTGTGTTTGTCAGTAGTTCCTTTGGAAAAGATACTTTAAGAATAGGGAAATGACCCCGATACTTTATATGACCCTCTTCAAAACAAGAGGTTTAGTAATCATGAATGAATACTGTTTGCTAGACTAAATAAGTTGTGTTACTTCCCAAAAATACTATTATAAATACCATTTAAATGTCAGTGTGCTGGAAGAAGCAAAGACCACCAGCATTGAAGCAATGGTCCTCCGCCATCAACTCCCCTGGATAGGCCATGTTGTCCAGATGCCCGACCACCATCTCCCAAAGCAGTTGCTCTACTCCGAACTCAAGAACGGAAAACAGAATGTTGGTGGGCAGGAAAAGAGATTTAAAGATGGGCTCAAAGCCAACCTTAAAACTCTGGCATAGACACTGAGAACTGGGAAGCCCTGGCCCTTGAGCGCGCCAGCTGGAGGTCAGCTGTGACCAGCAGTGCTGTAGAATTTGAAGAGGCACAAATGGAGGGCGAAAGAGAGAAACATGCCAAGAGGAAGGTGTGTCAAGCCAACCCCGACCGGGACCGCCTTCCACCTGGAAACCAATGCCCTTAATGAGGGAGAACATGCAGGTCAAGAACAGGGCTCCATAGTCCTCTTCATACCCACCACCAGGACACTGACCTTGGGAGACAATCTTACTTGGACAACGAGGGATCGCCTAAGTAAACTGTTTGCTAGACTAAATAAGTTGTGTTACTTCCCAAAAATAGCATTATTTTGCCTTTGCCATCACAAAACTAATGTGTTACAAGTAACATAGTTCTTTCCCAGCTCTGTGTTAGACCCTTGAATGCTGTGTTTACTTCCCTTCTTATTTGTTTTATATTATTTCCACCCTGCCCTTCTGTCAGAAATGCTCACAGAGCAGCTCACAAACTATTTATTGTATTGTTCTCTCCATTCAGGTTTCCACCCTAAATAAATGCTTCCTTTCTTCCAGGTGATCCTCCAAAGGCAGCTGCTTGGATCGGCCAATGTGGCCTTTATCTGCTCATAATGGTCTTTGAGAAAGTGACAATTGGCCTTGTCCTCTCCATGCCTGGCTGGACAAAGGTAAGGGCAATGCGGGTAAACACAGTATTTTCTCATCTAGGAAGCTGCTGTGAACTCTAAACAAGAGAGGGTGCGTCTAAATTAAAGGTAAAAGTTTCACCTGACATTAAGTCTAGTCATGTCCGACTCTGGGGGTTGGTGATCATCTCCATTTCTAAGTCGAAGAGCCGGCATTGTCCGTATTTATTTATTTTATTTATTTACAGTATTTATATACCGCCTTTCTCACCCCTGGGGGGACTCAAAGCGGTTTACACATAAATAATGGCAAGATTCAATGCCTTACGTTGGGCACCGATATGATGCCAATACAAACAATTACAATAGTAAAACCACAATTAAACATAAATCACAATTAAAACAATACATCAACAAGCATTAAAACAGTAGACACCTCCAAGGTCATGTGGCTCGCATAACTGCATGGAGTGCTGTCACCTTCCCGCCTAAGCGGTACCTATTGATCTACTTACATTTGCATGTTTTCGAACTGCTAGGTTGGCAGGAGCTGGGCCTAGCAGCAGGAGCTCACCTCGCTCCCTGGATTCAAGCCGCTAACCTTTTGGTCAGCAAGTTCAGCAGCTCAACGGTTTAACCCACTGCACCACCAGGGGGCCCAGGGTGCATCTGCACTGCAGAATTAATGCAGTTTGACACCACATTAACTTTCATCGCTCAAATCTATGGACACCTCGGAGTTGTAGTTTGGTGAAGCACCAACATTATTTGGCAGAGAAGGCTAAGAACACTTGTAAAAAGCACAGCTCACAGGATTCCATAGCATTGAGCCAGGGCAGTTAAAGTCTCAAATTGCATTAATTCTACAGTGTAGATGCACCAGACACTCCTTGAAATGATTTCACTTTGGAATACAGTTAAGATTGCCAATACATGTAGTAAAAGCATCAAGAAGAAGGCTATGGTAAGAGTGTTATATCAGGGAAGCTTCTTTTTACAGAGATGTGAATGTGGACTGTCAAATCCAAAATGTGCAATTCAGGGTGACGTGAAGAGTGTGAGCTCTGGCATCCCTTTGGAGAGGTGGTCACAAGTACTAAAAAGAACAACTCCATATGTTTTCCCTGCACTTTCCATGATGCAGTATCTCTCATCTAAATGGCAAGCGATGTCTGCTTACTTATCTTTGTGTGGAAGTTAACATTTCCTTGCAGGAGTGATAACTCGCTGTTCCTTTGGTGAGAATTCTTCTGGTTTCTGTTCAGTACAGGATTCCTCAGCTGCTTATTTGACAAGTTAGGGACCGACATCCTGTCAAAAATAAAAGCGGAGCCCAGACTTGTTTTTAGCTTGCAAATGCAGGACTGAGCACTAGAAGGTCCCAAATCAATTGAGAGACAGAGAAAAAGAGACAGATCCATCAAGAGAGCAAACCAGAGATGACAGAGCAGTACATAGCTATTAATTTAGATTTCTCAAAACAGCAAGGCAGTGAAACGTGACAATGCAAAGGAAACCTGTAAGCGTGTCTGATAGATTTGTTTTTTGTAAAAGATATTTTCTTTTCCAGCTTCAGGAAATCCTTTTGGACTTCATCCCCGACCCTCAGCTGGAGCTGGTATTGGTGATGCTTGTGGTGCCTTTTGTTGTCAATGTGAGTAAAAACTTCGAAAGGAAGTGACATTTCTGATCACATTAAATCTGGGATTGGAAAGGGTTGCTGAAAATGTACAGGCATTCCACCCAACAAACAAGTCATTGTATGGAAAGATAGCATCTCAGATATTTGATGTGGCGATGTGGAGGACTCTGAAAAAGGAGCAGGGCTTGGGAAAAGCTCATTTTTGGACTGCAATTCTCAGAAAGCCCAGCCAGCATGGCAAGGAGTCTTTGAGTAACTTTTGTAGAGATGGAGGGGAGAGCAGGCCCCTTCCAATATTATTATGACAATTCATAATTCCATCTTGTAAATATGGTTTTCTGTGGGTGAACAGATGGCGATCACTGGATGGCATACTTTCTGTATCAGAAACTAGAGCGGATGTGGTCTATCTAATGATATTTTCTGAATCGGCACCCCAAATAACCAAACCAAATCTAAAGTTGACCAAAAATTGATTTGTAACCTTTTTGGTACTAATGTTGGAGAGTAGTCTCTGGTCAGAGTGGTCCCTGGTCAAAAAAGGTTGGGAACCATTGCCCTACATTGTCCCATCAAATGACAAACTTTGTAAAGAAGGGAAGATAATTGCATTATTGGGAAATTGGTAGTTAACTGCCATCCTAGGACAACAATTTGAAACAATTAGATGGGAATTGTTTGGAAACTTCTTTTTAGAGAAATGATTGGAATGAAATGCTAAAGCCTCCCACAATTGAGCACTGGTAGGATGATGCTCTGGATTTTCAAGCATCATCCTACCAGGACATACCCTCTGTTATGTCAGCTCCACTGGCTGCCGATCCAGTTTCGAGCACAATTCAAAGTGCTGGTTTTGACCTACAAAACCCTATACGGCTCCGGCCCAGCGTACCTGTGAAAGACTTCGACAAAGAATTGTTTTAAGATCTTCTGGGGAGGCCCTGCTCTCGGCCCCGCCTCTATCACAAGTGAGGCTGGTGGGGATGAGGGACAGGGCCTTCTCAGTGGTGGCCCCTCGCCTGTGGAATTCACTCCCCGGGGAAATTAGGTCATCAACATCCCTCCTCTCCTTCAGAAGGAAGCTGAAAACATGGATATGGGACCAGGTCTTTGGGTAATCTGGCAGACTGATAGGAAAGGACTATGGTAATGCTGAATGGACTTACAGATTTTAGTAATTCGGTGAACGTTGGCCACTAGATTGGCTTTTTAGTTGTTATTGTATTAATTGATTATTTTTAACTATTGTAGCTATTGCTGTTATGTATTTTATCTGTTGAATTGTTGGCATCGAATTGTGCCGGTTGCCTGTGTCCCCCCTTGGTGGTTGAGAAGGGCGGGGTAGCAGTGCCCAAAATAAATAAATAAATTTGTTATACCTGACTTATTGTATGAGCTCAAGGTTGCCACATTTCCAAAGTGGATCATTGTGGAAGCATGATAGCCAGGCTACATCAAAAATCTTCAAAACTATCTGATGATGACAATTGTTAACCTTTCTAAATGGGGATGAATTGAATCTTAGAACATCATGCTACCAGTGATTTGTTATAGGTAACTTATCATATAACTCAAAGATAAGAGTTCTGAATTGGTCTTTGGCTTTTACTTGGGCAAAAGACTTTTTTGAATGAAAATATTTTTTTTTCTTGAGCTCTGGAATGCTCCAGATTGGCTAATGAATGTGGTGGGAACCAGCATCTCCCAGGACTTTTGCTAAGAGTCTTTTGCGTAAGAGTCGTAATGGTAGATAACAATAAAAATGCTCTTCCTTAAAGTATGAATATCCCTTTCCCACCCTAAACTACTTTCCTTTCCTTTTTCAGGCCATTATGTTCTGGGTGGTGGACAGCTTGATCATGAAGAAATACAAGCAGGTGGAGACCATTGATATCAGTGAAGTGAAGACAGTCTTGAAAGAAAGGATGAAGGATGAAGAGTACCAGGTAGGAGGAGCAGGATTTCTGATGCCACTTGGACATCTAGTCACATTTAAAATGGATGGGCAGATTTCCTTTACCAGGGACAAGTCATTTATAGCTTTGTAGCCTTCTTCTGCACAGATTACTGCAGATGCAGACTGTGGCCAGGAAATCAGAAGACACTTACTTCTTGGGAGGAGAGCAATGTCCAGTCTCGATAAAATAGTAAAGAGTAGAGACATCACACTGGCAACAAAGATCCGCATAGTCAAAGCCATGGTATTCCCTGTAGTAACCTACGGATGTGAGAGCTGGACCTTAGGGAAGGCTGAGCAAAGGAAGATCGATGCTTTTGAACTGTGGTGTTGGAGGAAAGTTCTGAGAGTGCCTTGGACTGCGAGAAGATCCAACCAGTCCATCCTCCAGGAAATAAAGCCCGACTGCTCATTGGAGGGAAGGATACTAGAGACAAAGTTGAAGTACTTTGGCCACATCATGAGGAGACAGCAAAGCCTAGAGAAGACAATTATGCTGGGGAAAGTGGAAGGCAAAAGGAAGAGGGGCCGACCAAGGGCAAGATGGATGGATGGCATCCTTGAAGTGACTGGACTGACCTTGAAGGAGCTGGGGGTGGTGACGGCTGACAGGGAGCTCTGGCGTGGGCTGGTCCATGAGGTCACGAAGAGTCGGAGATGACTGAACGAATGAACAACAGCCTTCTAGAGGCTGAATGCATCTCCCAACATCCTTCATAATTTCTGATGCCACTTAAGTATGATGTAAGTCCATGAATTACACATTGGGGGCCATTCATACTACATTATTGTAACACCATGAGGGTTGAATGAAAAGTAATGCCTCCATCTTCATTACTTAGGTTTGGATGGGAATATTTTAATAAATCAAACGCAGAAATAATCCTTAGAATGTGCTCTTTGACTACCACTATTCACTTTTCTACATAATCACCAGACAATTGGATACATTTCTGCCAACAATGAGCAAGTTTTCTAAAGACATCACGGAAGAAGTCGACATACTGTTTCAGCAACCAGTGTCTCACAGTTCTCTCATCCTGGGTACCCATCGTGCACAGATCTTCCGATAGCCATAATCACCATAAACAGTTTACATTCTCTGATGAATCTCCTTTGGGGTGACATCTTCTGCTGTCAAGAATTCAATGACTGCATGTTGCTTAAGTCGCATTGACTGACCATCTGCACAGGGTTCTATACTTCACAATTTAACAACACAACTGTTCAATGTTAAGGCTTCCCACCAAATGCAACTATAGAGGAGAGTCTACTGAACAAGCCAGTACCTGCTTGAGGAGTTATGAAGGTGGAGGCATTACTTTTCATTCAATCCTCATATTTTCCACTTGGAATGTGGAATCTTTAGAAATGAAACTCAGTGATGTACTCCTTGACTGGGAATTTGAAGTATTCCTCCCTGAATGACCACTCCCAGTTAAAGTAGAGTAATTGTGCTGTAATTCTATATCTTGAATGAATCTCTGAACTTACATTCCAGACAGGAATGTACTTTCTGCAGCCTTCTGCTATTTAACACATTGACCTATTTCTGTATGTTATTGTGTCTATTGGAGATAGAGGTGCAGTGAGGGGGGGAAACACAAAATGAAGGCATTATCCCTCCTGCATAAGAATTCTGCTCTGCAATAAAATGTTATTTCAATCCTCTGATATCTAGAATTGTGGGGTTGGTTTTATGCCCAAAATTTCCAGACTTGAACATGAGCATGTACAGTACATTGAAAGTTCAGGGGGAAAGGTCCCTAATATTTTCCCCAGCATATCTTTGTTATTGGCTAACAAAGTAGGCCTCCAGGGTTTGTGTGCCCAACATCCCATGAATCTGTTTGCAGATGGGTTATGGCCAAAGGGCAGATGCAGGAAGCAGACTGTTCTCCCTGTCATTCCCCTTCACTCCTCCCTCTTACTCTTCGACATTTTGAGTTATGGTTGTACAATTAGAGTTCTTTCACCAAAGCATATAGTATCATGATCAGTCTGTCCTTAGAGCCATTTATTGCAAGTGTTTTGGAAAAGTCAGCCATTATCCAAATCTGCCTCTCAAACTGACAGGTCCCCACAATTCAAGCTGACACTCATTTTTATGTTCTGAGTGCAAAAAAATCTATCCCTCTCTGATTTTGGATTTGCTACTGCTCTTTTGGATGTGGAGCTTTATACTCCTGTTTTCATCTTGGCAAGAAGATTTTTTGGAGTGTCAGCTGTTGTCAGTTCAAGTCAGATAGCCTTAAATGTATGCACAAAAACCAGAGGACAAATCCATCTCTAACATCACGGATCTAACTAAGTAATGCTTCTAGGACTGTTAATACAGCCAATTATTACATTGTTACTAAAGTAAAGGTAAAGGTTTCCCCTGACATTAAGTCTACTCATGTCCGACTCTGGGGTGGTGGTGTTCTTCTCCATTTCTAAGCGGAAGAGCCGGCGTTGTCTGTAGACACCTCCAAGGTCATGTGGCCAGCATGACTGCATGGAGTGCTGTTACTTTCCCGCAGAAGCGGTACCTATTGATCTACTCACACTTGCATGTTTTCAAACTGCTAGGTTGGCAGAAACTGGGTCTAACAGCGGGAGCTCACCCCACTCCCTGAATCCAAACCGCCAACCTTTCGGTCAGCAAGTTCAGCAGTTGAGTGGTTTAATCTGCTGCACCACAAGGGGTCCATAACATCGTAACATTGCTACTATTATTGTGCAAAACGTACATCTTTCAGAAAATCTTCGGTTGGTCTTCCCCTGTTTTTCAGAAGTGCACCTCTTCTAAAGAGGGTGAGATTAATTCCTTGCTAACGGAGAAGGTTTCTTGGACTGACCCAAGTTATTTTCAGACTGAGGCAAAAAGAAGTCTCATATAGGGGTCACGTGAAGATCTAGTTCTGTATTTTAGCCTTTTGTTGTTTCTGTATAAGACTCAGGAAACTTGAGTTCGAATTCCCACTCAGTCATGAAATCCATTGGTGAGCTTTGGTGAGTCACACAGTCTCAGGCACACCAAAATACTTGGGAGTTACTCTGGACCATGCTCTGACTTACAAGAAGCACTGCTCAACTATCAAGCAAAAAGTGGGCTCTAGAAATAATATGATACGAAAGGTGACTGGCATAACCTGGGATCACAACCAGAGACACTGAAGACATCTGCCCTTGCACTTTGCTACTCTGCTGCTGAGTATGCTTGCCCAGTGTGGAACACATCTCACCACGTTAAAACAGTGGATACGCCTCTTAATGAGACATGCCGCATTATCACAGGATGTCTACGCCCACACCACTGGAGAAATTATACTGTTTAGCTCGTATTGCACCACCCGATATCTGCAGGGAAGTAGCAGCCAACAATGAAAGGACTAAGGCAGGGACACAGAATCATAGAGTCATAGAGTTGGAACCCCCTGCCAAGAATCAGGAAAATTGCCTTCAAAGCACCCTCAACAGATGGCCATCCACCCTCTGTTTAAAAGCCTCCAAAGAAGGACCCTCCACCACACTCCAGGGCAGAGAGTTCCACTGCTGAACATCTTCGGCCCATCCCCTGTTCAGACATCAGCCAGCATGCCAATTCCTTAAATCAAGAAATAGCTTTCTAAGATCTACAGAGATACTCGCAGGAACACCTCAGCAAACAAGGGTCCAAAGGTGGCAGGCTAAAACCCAGCACCTCAAGCTACTGCTGATACTGAATGAGAGACTCCCTCCTGGGCACACAGAAGTGACTTGGAAGGTGCTGAAGAGACATCTGGCACCACGAGATGCAGAGCCAACCTTAAGAAATGGGCCACAAAGTGGAGTCCACGAAATGCAAGTGTGGAGAAGAGCAATCCACTGCCTACCCATTACAATGTAGTCTGAGCCCTGCCACATGCACAATGACCTTCTTACAGAAACACCAGAGGCACTGCAAGTAGCCAGATACTGGTCAAAGGACATTTAGTATAATTCCAAGTGTTGTGTTTTTAAATGCATTACAACTGTACCCTTGGTTTGCTTCTGACACAATAAATAAATAGCTGCAGAGGAAGGCAATGGTAAGCCTCTTCTGAACAAAACAGGCTAAGAAAACCCCGTGATAGTGTTACCATACAATAGAAATGACACAACAGCCAAAGCAACTTCATCGCTACTGGATCATAGGGCAAGAAGTAGTGTTTCTTTACCACTTTCGAAGATAATGCTGAAAAACAGCCTGACACCTAAATGCCTTGTAATGACCAAGTACCTCCAAAATGTGATGAAATTCCTCCTCTGATTTGAACTGGTAAATGTTCAAAACAACAGGATTTTGTGCACCATGAGATGCTGTTTAGGCCTGTTGAAACTGTTGAATGTGGTGCCTCTTAAATATACCTTTCCCTCTTTGTTCAGTTCTCTGAAACGCTTTAGCCCGCATTTCCCTTCAGTTTCTCCTCCTGTCCTTCAAGAGATATGGAGAGGTTTTTTCAAACCCCTTCTCTCCTGGGAACACTTGTGGTCAAGTGCTGCAGGGGTTTATCGGTGTCGATCTGGTCTGTCTCCAATCAGGCGCCGACAGCTATCTGTCCTCCTTGAATTTCAGGCCAGTCTCAGCAAAGAAAGCCTTCCATTCTTTCCAGGGCAGAACATAATTCGGGAATGGCTGCGTGTGCTGAACTGGCACACCCCAAAGGCTTTTGCAACGGCTAGAAACACTGTCGGTTTTTATTAAAAGAGTAGCCGAGACAAAATCTGATTTTAGTTACTGCAGCCATGAGACTGGACTGTGGAAATCAGAGTTGACAGCGCTATCTGGGGGATTCTGGGATTTGTAATCCCAAATGAAGGAAATGCCAGGAAAGTCAATAGTTTCAAAAGTAGCAGTGGATAAACATGCTTAGACTGTTTCCTTTTTAAAAAGACTAGCCATCCCCTGCCACGCGTTACTGTGGCCCAGTCTGTGTATATGTGTTGTGTGTGTATATATATTTGTGTATATGTGTGTTTGCATAT